TTAAAAAATACTATCTGTTAATATTTAATCAAAGTAAATCCTAGGTCCTCTTTTAGTAAAACCGAAATGTTTTATATTTTGTAGGCTTAGTGTGCATAATGCGCAGAAATGATATGGCAAATAACAGAAATAAAACTATTGCCCACGATGCTGGCCAATGCCTAATTTCTCTGCTTTGCTATACCAGCTTACACTGATACAATTACATCCTATCACTATAATTAACAATAGTAGTATTTTACAGTACAGAATAAAACCAATGATTTTGTAACAGAGGAGCTCAAAATTTAATAAAGTTCAATGGCAAGAGGTATTTACAATTTTAGTACATTTTGATAATGTCTATGGTACATTAGGAACAGGTTTTCTGACTGCATAATAATGAATTTACAGTAAAAGTAATTATTGCCTTAATTATCACAATGCCATTAAAATTTCTTATAATTTGAACTTTAAATGACAAACTTAAAAAGGGAAAATTTCTTATGCTTTGTTTTCATATGGCCTTTCTTGCCCAGGTGCAGATATTGATGCGTTAGAATAGTACACTTCTCTGGTTTTGAGAGTTTCTAGTATAAAAGTGCTTATATTAGAAGGATTTATTCCTGTACATTTAAATGATTTTGTAAACTTAATTTCTAATCAGATAAGGTTGTAGTTTTGTGACACTAGGTGTACAATTGATAGCATTTTCTTGACTTTCTTGACTTTGTAGACATAACATTGTGTTAGCATTCTAATACCACAGTTAGAATTAATTTCTCTTCTCATTCACAGTTTCGATACTCCAGTTGGTCAGATAAATTACTAATGATACTAGGCACTCTTCTGGCAATAGCCCATGGAAGCAGTCTCCCTGTTGCGATGATAATTTTTGGTGATATGACTGATAGTTTTGTTGCTTCTGGAGACTCAGATTTTCCAGGTAAGAGAACAATGGCTCGTATTTGGAAAAGAGCCAGAAAATCAAGTATCTTGACAGAAGATATTGATGTCAGGAAACCCCAACTTGCTACTATACTATGATGCAAATTAGTAACTCTTGTGTTTGTTGTAATAGAGATACCCTATGGATTTTTCTTTTCCCCCCTCCTAATTCTTAGTTTCTGCTTTAGTAGATTTTTTTTTTTCGAATTATTGACTACAATGCACATTCAACAAATCATATTTAACTGTAGCTGTGATAAATAGAGAGGCTGGTTTTCCGTCTCCTCAGCATGAGTTCCTGTTGATTCCCTTGCATCAAATCTGACAATTATAGTTCACAAGGTGAATCAGATCACTAAGTAAATCCAACAGAAAATTCATCACCAAAAATAAAAGTACTCATTTTCTCTTGGATCACTTTGTTCAATAGCCTAATTTGCCGAATCAGAAGTACAAAATGAAACACAAAGAAGGGCAGGCATGCACTGCTGGATACAAGAGGGAGGAATGATACTGCCACTTTGGTATCAACTCACAGTTAGACCAGATTAGTTTGTCCTCTGAACTCACACATTGGATGTTAAACTTGTGAACAAGTTTGTTGCCTGAAATATTATCTAATAAAAATTTATTAAACATTTAAATAAAAGTCTATGGTGATACAGAAAAAATAAAGGATGTGACTATCTTCTGTCCTATATCCTATTTTTATTGTGCTACTATGAGACAGAAACCTGCACGTACTGCCTTTATCAGAACAAGTAATTTATGATTTAGTCCTTCCCAAGTACAATAAATTGATCAGATTTTTATGGTGCAAATGCAAAATGTTGCCGCTGTAGTCTTCTCAAAACATTTGTCACTAAGTTCTTGTGTGGAGCAGTAAAATTTTAGGGCCAACACCAACATTATAGCCATTGTTTTCATAATGAGTTAAGCTATCTATAGTTACTGATTTGATAGGCCTGTGTTTTTAATGGGTTTTGGCATTATACAAATGCCGTATGTTTTCAAAAAAAGAAAAGAAAACCAAACTGAGCATTTAATGAATGCTCAGGAAGATCTTTTAATCTCAAGTTACACCAATGTAGTTTTGTAGTCAGTGGAGTTATGACTAGCTTTATATTAGTATAATCATTGTTTTTGAATAGGTAGAAGCCTGAAATAGTCACACTTCTTCTTTCATTAAAATCAACTTGATTCAAAAGGAGATGTAGCAGCTCAAAATTTGCTGAACAGCATGCAGGAAAACAAATTTGTTAAAACTTGCTCTGTTAAAAGTATTTACTTTTTTCTTCCTTTCTAAGGAAACACTTCTGCAATAAATTCCTCTTCAGATATTCTTGCCAAGCTGGAAGAAAATATGACAAGGTAATTAGAAATCGGTATTTCCTCTTCTTTTTTTTTAATGTAGGCATACATTTCTAGTCAAACCATTCTTTTCCCACAGATGTTTTGCATACTTTAAACAACATAAAAGCAATGGTTGATTGAAGAATGTATGTAACTAAAAATTTGTACATGAGATTATTGGAGGCACTGGGAGGATTCTTGAACATCCCCAGCCATTCCCAACAACTTCCTGTAATCTCTTGCCCTCACCCATCCCACCTCCTTTTCAGGGGTGGTCTGTGTCCCAATGCCATCTGCATTTCCTTGCTGCTTCCTTCTCTTCCTCTGAATTGATAAACAGTAATTGTTATGCTAAAAAATTATATTGATTATCATCCATCGATTCCTTGAGCTACAGTGATTCACAGATAAAAAGCAGAATTAAAATTGCCAGATAGTACCTACTTTGCTGCCAAAGCATCAAGCTCAACTAAATTATCTGGACTATAGAAAATACAGAGTTGGATTATATGCAACCTTAAATCTAGCATTCTAGAGCTGGCAATAGCAGAAGACAATAGTCAGTAGGTGCTTTTGCTACAAAGCCTCGTAAAGAAAAGGTCAAATAATCAGAAACATCATCTGCCAATAGATGTGTTTTGTTAAGAGGCTTTATTAACCGCTGTCCATAAATTGATTTATGCAGGATGTTTAAAGTTCATGTGCAATTTCTTGTACCACTTCAGCTTCTTTTCTTCAGATTGAAGTCTGTTCTTCATTAGGTATTGAAAAACAGCTGTCATCTCAGGAATGCTGTGGTCTTCAAGGCAATTGTCTTTTCTGAAGAGAAGAAGGAGACAAGGCATTTGCTCTAGTAACTGTTGCTGTTTTATATTGAAGTACATTAGAATTTCTGGTAACAGTGGACTGTAAACAAATCATTTAGATTAAGTAGTTAAGTTTCTAACTAAAAAAAATGTATTTACACCACAAAAAAGTTATTTACCGTAAAATATATGAGCAAGAACTAGTTAGGAAAAGGCTGTTACTTAGAAATTAAGAACTCATATTTAAGGAGAATGAAGTGGCAGGGAATTGGCAATTATGTTTTATAAGAGAGTGTGGACACACAGAATTTCTTGCTCCCACATTTCTGTCAATTAGTCTCTGACATGAATGCAAGTAATGCATACACATCTTCAGGGGAATGTATTTGTGCCCAGTGATTTGAAAGCAAATTTGAAGGTAAAATTGCAGAGCAAAATAATTTGTACATGGGTGAAGTTACCCTAACTGTTCTGTGTTTAGTAAATATCTGACGCCTAGTTGCACTTTTTTAAGGTCTGTCTTATGTTTATTCTAAACGAGTTTTAAAAATAGTTATTCCTACTACATATGCAATTATAGAATTCCTTTTCTGAAACTCACTAAGTTCTTAGTCTCCAGCATATATTTTGACAGGTCCAATAGTTTTATAAAGTGTCACATAAACAGCAATTACTGTTAAAATGTAAAATTAGATCATTTGAATTTAATTGAGTATTCTGTTATTCTTGCAAATGTAAAGAATACCCAATTTATTTTCTTTACAACAGTTCATTATTCTCTGTATTTCTATCTGTTTAATTATCTCTTTCTGGTAACTGGCCTTTAAAACTGTATCACTTGCTGTTATTAATTTCTCTCAATTTTAAAGATACTAGTGTTAGTGTTTTCATTTCCACTTCGAAATGAAGGTAATGATACAGCTTTAAAATCAACATTTTTTTTTTTCTACTTAAGCATATCTAACCTGTATTTTAAGAGCAGGATGTACTAGAATTTCACAAGGCATTACTGGATCCTTATAGCATAAGAGTAGTGTATAAATCAATGTGTCATTTATAAGTCTTTTACACCAACAATCAATCAGAACTATTTTTGATTAATGGCTTGGGGTTCTAGTCTCTGAACTCATATCACATCATCTCAACTAAAAACAGTAGGAATCCTCCCATTGTCCTCAGTGGGCTATTGTCTAGGAATCACTAGTTCTTAAAGAACAGAGTACAGGAAAACAGACAAGCTGACACAAAGAAAGTGTAAATGTGAATGTAGATGTACATCAACATCTAAATGTTGACAACTGCCTGTTCTCCTGACATGAACTGATGGTCTATTTGAGGGAGGTCCAAGATGGACCCCCCACTGGCCAAGGCCAAGCCACTCAGCAGCAGTGGTAGCACCTCTGTGATGATATATTTAAGGAGGGAAAAAACACCTGAACCTGAACAATAGACACTGCAGCTGGAGAGAGGAGTGAGAATATGTGAGAGAAACAGCCCTGCAGACACCCAGGTCAGTGCAGAAGGAGGGGAGGAGGTGCTGCAGGCCCAGAGCAGAGATTCCCCACCAGCCCGTGGTGCAGCCCATGGTGAGGCTGGCTATCCCCTGGCAGCCCATGGAGGTTAATGGTGGAGCAGATCCCTACGTCCAGCCCAGGAAGGACCCCACGCCGGAACAGGGGGATGTACCCCAAAGGAGACTGTGACCCTGTGGAAAGCCCACGCTGGAGCAGGCTCCTGGCAGGACCTTGGCCCTGTGGAGAGAAGAGCCCAGGCTGGAGCAGGCTTGCTGTCTGGGCTTGTGACCATGCAGGGGACAGGCTGGAGCAGTCTGTGCTTGCAGGGAAGACCCCACATTAGAGAAGTTCATGGAGGACTGTCTGCTGTGGGAGGGACCCCACGCTGGAGCAGGTAAAGAGAGGTAGGAGTCCTCCCTATGAGGAGGAAGGAGCGCCAGAGACAAAGTGTGATGAACTGACCACAACCCCCATTCCCTGTCCCCCTGCACTGATGGTGGGAAGGAGGTAGAAAATCGGGTAAAGTTGAGCCCAGGAAGAATGGAGGGGTAAAGAGAAGGTATTTGTAAGATTTGGTTGTATTTCTCATTATCTTACTCTGATTTGATTGGTAATGAATTAAATTCATTTTTTTCCCCCAAGTTGAGTCTGTTTTGCCTGTGACATAATTGATGGATGATCTCTCCCTGTCCTTATCTCGACTCATAAGGTTTTCGTTATATTTTTCTCTCCCCTGTCCAGCTGAGGAGGGGAGTGATAGAGCGGCTTTGGAGGGCACCTGACATCCAGCCAGGATCAACCCACCACAAACATCATGCATGCCACCTTGTCTTTTAGACATTAACTCTGAAAGTACAAGTATGAATAAAAAGCAGCCTGAGTTTCTCTTTAGAAACAAATTGTTGAATGAGGAATGTATTACTTATTAGCAGCACAGGAACAGGTTCTCTTTTCTTAAGTTTCTAGATAGAACCTTGAGTTAGTGTGTTCACTGGTTTGAAGAAGCTGTTTGTACCCACCCCTTGTTTCTCTAAGAACGCTTACCAGCAAGTCAAATAATAGTAAAAACTGTTTACAAGGAAAAAGTTCTCATACAGACATCTTCAAGTACTGAACTATACATGTGGACTTGGTTGTGTTTGTTACTCAAACAACAACTTGCCTAAAACCCAACTATGTCTCAAAAGAAAAAGAACCATGGCTTTACAATGCAGTGAGTGTTTACTCTCTGTTAAGTTTCAGCAGTGAATTTACAGAATATGTTTCATTAGTATGGAATCTGGCAAAGATATAAATCCCTTTTGATACAATTTGTCATGGGACAAAATCCAAGCATAAAATAGTTCTTTGAAGTGATGTAACATCATAAAGTAATTGACTAAAGTAATTACTGCTGAATTTTGAAGCAGCATTCTTGGTTTTAGTTTGGTAGTTTCTGTGTAGAATTTTAATGGAGCTGAAGATGCTTGAGGTCAATATTTAATTAACCAGCATTCAGTTAGGCATTAACCCATTTTTATTAAACAGTTTAGATAAAGTTCATTTCATAATGACTATAGTTCCAAAGTTCCAGACTAAACTGTATGCCATCTTAGCCACAAAAAAAACTCTGGATTAAAATTTGAAAAGTTTTGTGTATAAAGCCATCCTCTCCTTTTTTGAGCAGAGCATTTGCACACAGATTCCGGCAATTTGCTTCTGCCAAGTTTCATGCTACAGTTCTAAAGAATCAATATGCCTAACTTACTACACACGAGTGAAAGTCCTAGGAGTTTTAAAGCTTTTTGCTAATTGTTTACTTTTATATAGATGCGGTAGTCTTACAATTACATGTAATATACACCACGAATATTTAGCCCTTGGTTTTAGTCATGTTTTACAAGCAAGGAATCCATTCAGTTACGTTTTTCTGGTTTAAGTTCACCTGTAACTGATTCTGATGTCAATTCTGAATCAAATCAAATCTGATTTGGTTCTGTTTGAAGAGTTTAAAACAGTGGCTCAAATTCAATTCCAGTTTGAGAAATACAGTGGTTGACATGCTCCTTGATTTTAACACCCTGCTCATAGTACAGAGCTGAATTAACTTAAAAGTAAAATACCAGTTATGAATAAAATAGAGAACAAAAGAATTTTTGATCTAATGCCATTTGCTTGCAATAGATGTATCTATAGTAATGCTGTATTCTCAAATTGGGAAATATTTACAGCATTCATATATTCATATATTTATATAGACAGGCATGTTGTATGGTGTAAATATGTATGTAGTATAGATGTATATGACTAGGTCTGTCTATATGTGTTAAAACAAAAATGTTATGGAATTTTTGGAAATGGTACATTTAAGTGAAAAGGGTATTGTATCTATCTGAAACGTAGTTCTAAGATAATCTTGTGAGAAAATACATATACTATATTGACAAAAGAAAAGAGAAATTCCTGTCTAACAATAACTTCATTTCGTTTATTACATGCCTGAAAACTGATATTAAATACTACTCATAGTAAACTTGGCAAGTTTTATAGAGAAGTATAAACTGTAGTATAAACATATAAATTCTAATTTAGATCTGAAACATAAGAAATAAACATCAAACTAAATACAGACTAGCAAAGTAATTAAAATTAATTTCAGAGAATCTTGTCTTTTTTTTTTTTTTCTTCCAGATATGCATACTACTATTCTGCAATAGCAGTTGGTGTTCTTCTTGCTGCTTATATCCAAACTTCATTTTGGACCCTAGCAGCAGGCCGGCAAATAAAAAAAATTAGACAAAAATTTTTTCATGCAATTATAAGACAGGAAATTGGATGGTTTGATGTAAATGATGTGGGAGAACTTAACACTCGCCTTCTAGAGTAAGTATACTATATGTTTTCCAGTGTTTTTTTATCTTATTAAGCATATATGAGTTACATTTTTTTTATTTTTATTTTTAAATTGTATTATTTCATTGGGAAATGAAATTTCACTGTGAAATTAAATTGAATTATTTCATTGTCAAATGAAGTTTTAAAGTTTTCTCTTGGAGAGTCTCAGAGACTGAACTTCTAATACTTCTGATACTGGACTGTCACAAGGATATCAGAAAAAGCATTTTGATAAGTTCCCTTGAACTCTGAGGATGACTAAACCCCAGCCTGTGAGATTATCCCCATGAAGAGCAAACATGGTTAATTTCTGTGCGCACTGAAGACTGAATAAGGTGCCGACTGACCTGAGCAGTATAAGCAGCTTTAACAGCATGACAAGCTATTCCTTTCTCTTTGCTTACATGAAAGGCTTTATCTTTTCTTTCCAGATATCCCACAGTTTCCAAACAGATCAAAAATTTGGAATTAAGAAAGTGAGAGTAACTTTACACTGTAGGCAGAATTTTAACTTTTTCAGAAAAAAATAGATTTATAACATTAGATTTTCACAAGAAATATGAAATTTTCCTTGACCACACTATATAGTGCTTTATCTTGAAGAAAACTGTTGTTTGGAAGTAATTGAATAATAAAGATTGTCCTCTACCAGATGCCCGTGTAACAAAACTGAAAAGCTTTCTTTTGCTTTCTACATTTTCCTTTCTGTCTGAATGTAATGTGTTTTTCAGTGATGTCTCCAAGATTAATGAAGGGATAGGTGACAAAATTGGATTACTTGTTCAAGCAGTAACGACATTTGTAACAGGATTTGTTGTTGGTTTCATAAGAGGATGGAAATTAACCCTTGTAATATTAGCAGTCAGTCCTGTCCTGGGACTTTCAGCGGGCCTCTGGGCAAAGGTAGGTTAACATACATTCAGTGTCAGGTTTTATATTAATGAGAGATAAGGAAATAAGTCTACATATCTGTAATTCTTACTGTTAGAATGTATTGCTTTGAACAATTACAGCTTTAGACAACGTCTATGTACATAAGCTCTTACATATAGTGTGTATAAGTACCCTCATGTAGTTTGAATATTGTAATTCTCATAGATTGGACAGACTTGTTTGAATTGAAGCTGTTTCTGCCAATATAGCATATTTTTATACAGAAAAGGAAGCAGGATATACGAGTAAAATCCACATCTGTAACTGTTAAAGTTCATCCACAGGAGTGCTTGTTCTGTTGAAAGGAATAATTGCACCTCCTGAAAAATAAGTGAATAAATTAGACCAAGCCTTGGCCTCAGACACGGAGTTTCTTTTCAGAGCTGTTAACAGCTTTGGTAAGAAATTTTAGACAGACTTAAGTGACAGAAGCACTAAATTACCAAGGGATTGGAGTGACTTACATCTGTAGTTTGGAAGCCTCCAGATTTTTATAGTATTTTATTTCCCTTACATTTCAAAGATCATATAAGCCTTCTCTGTCTTGAGTGAGTATATTGCGGAAAAAGTAAAGGTAGAGAAACATGTGCTACACATGTCTACTGGCTAAGAGTCTCCATGGATGGTGGCCAATTAATGTAAGCTATAGAGCCCTCTGGCTAAGGTAGCCAGAGATGAGAATGAGCTGAGGAGATCTGCGTGGGGAGAACCACACCAGCTCAGCATGAGCAGTCATCTAATCTCCTGCATTGGGTGAAAGCAGAGTGGAAAATCCAGCCCTTAGCTGTTGAGAATCAGTAATGTTGAATTATTTGATTGAATTCATAATGTATTTAAGGATTTTGATATTGAACATTCTGCACTCACACATAATATAATCAACAGGCTTCATATTGGAAGAAAGAACTGTGATAAAAGCCATTATGAAGTGCTTGAGCTCATTCTGTTTTTCTTAAGTCAAAATCTTTGATCCTTTATTAGGTTCTCTCTGCATTCACTGACAAAGAGCAAGCTGCATATGCAAAAGCAGGTGCTGTTGCAGAGGAAGTTCTGGCAGCAGTCCGTACTGTAATAGCTTTTGGAGGGCAGGAAAAAGAAATTAAAAGGTAAGAGTAACATTTGCTTTCATCAGATGATTTTAAAGTACTCCCTTCAGATGGTTTGAAATTTTCTTGTGTCTTTGCTGTTGAAAGCCTGTCAAAACAATTAAGTCTTGTTCTTCCTGCATTTTTAAGTAATGGGAAATTGTTACAGGCTGCTGTAAGTTTCACTACATGTTGAAAGACAGTTATTTTTCTAGAAAATGACAAAATAAGTTGATATATTGTCTCTGCGCTAGAAAAATGTACAAACTACTTTAAACATCACGCGGTGAGACCTTTAGACAAAAAGAAAAGGCCCTGCCATGAGAAGAGATGATGGTATCCTTGGTAATCTGATTACTCAATAGTTGTTGTGAAGGTACCAATAAACAATATCTCTATTTCCACTATACTGTAAAACATCATTCTTGTGATATATTTTAACCTTTTATCTTAAGCTAACAACTATAATCTCAAAAACTGTAGTGAATTGTTCACAATCAAAGTTCACTGACCTGCAGGTTATTTAAGGAACTTGAATGCCAGTCCCTGAACTGCAATGCCCTTTTTTTTCTGTATACCAGGTTAACAGATGTTGGCCTTTTTAGGAGTTATATTAAAGTCTCTGTGCCTGACTACAAGGCTTACCTTTGTACAATCTTAGGGTTATATATTTTATATATCTTCTTGTACTTTGTAAGTGTTCGTTTTCTAATTCATCCACAGAGTTTTTGGTGCTGTGTGCCATGGTACAAGTCTGGGTCTATTTTGAACTCCTACCTTTCTTCCAGATACCATAAAAATTTAGAAGATGCTAAACGGATTGGAATAAAAAAGGCTATTACAGCTAATATTTCTATGGGCGTTGCTTTCTTACTGGTATATGCATCATATGCACTGGCCTTCTGGTATGGAACTACTTTGGTCTTAAGTGATGATTACACTATTGGCAATGTTCTTACAGTAAGTATTAATGACTAAATTCCCAATAATATTGAGAAATACTGAAGAAAATACATTAAAGAGTGTATTGGGAACTTACTTGAGTTTAATAAGAATTATCTACCAAAATTGGCAAAATAGCATCCCTTCTTCTAAACAAAAAGATTCTCACCACAAAAGTCTACATGCTCTTTCTATAGTATCTCAAAATCTACATCAAGCCAAATAAAACATATATTATTGTCAATAGTTTCTACATCTTTTCTGACTTCTATAAGATCAGACTGATAAAGAAATAGTTCAATCAAAAATTGAAGTACAGTACCCTTCCTAGTTGCTATTTGTTTTTAGATTTGTGTGGCTGAATATGTTTTCACGATGCAGAAGCAAATATGGTTTTTTAGACATCGTATGGTCTAAGTAGATCATTTTATTGATACTTTTCTTATGTTTTGCACCATAAAGGCTTGGAATCACTTCTCAATATTTTTAGAAATCAAGGAGGAGAAAAGTATACCTTTGACTAGGAAATATTTCACTGTCTAAGCAAAGGAAGAAAACCATAGCTCATAAGTCATAACTTAAATTCTTCTCTTGATGTGGCACTCATTCTAATTTTGTATGAGATATCAAACAGATATGGTAAGAAGAATAACTTTGTTAACCATGACGAAAGCCAGCCAGGAGACCATATGTATATATTTATATCTTTTTTAAACTACCTGTTTTGTTTTATTTATGAATCACTGAAGTTTGTGAAAAATGGCTGTAATGTGTTGTTGGCTCTTTTGAACCTGCCTCTTTTTTTTAAGGTAGGCTGGCATACAGAACATGTCAGTGAGGTTCATGTCCTTGTGGGTAACTTTTTCAGTTCAAAGCACTTGCAATTTCTGTGGTCTATGTTGTAGTTGATTGGAATGATGGTTTTATAACACGAATGGGAGGGTGTTGCCTTATTATGTGTCACACCTGTGAATGACCACTGTTGGAGAAAAGGTGATGGGTGTGATGGACCTTTGCTCTGACGTACCATGGCTGTTATTATGATCTCTGTCTGGGCAGTGTGTATTTATTGCTTTTGTTTCGAAACTAGCTGAAAGCAATAAACTATGCTTCTCTGAGAAAATAATGTATTTTTTCTTTTCTGTTTTTTCTTGTTTGCTTGCACTCACTCTCTTTCATTCCAGCAGAGACCCTTTATTTGTGATGGAGAAGTTGGATTTGTATACTTCTATTTCACTGTCACTTTAAAAGCAGAATGATAGTACTTTGCATATCTGTCTTTGTTCCATTGGAAGATATGCAATATACTTTCTGGTCTTTGGAACATCTTTTGCCAAAGTACGAATTAGTACAATAAATCCTGAGACATCAAGTGTAATTATACATTTCTTGGCATGGATTTTGCAGGTCTCAGTCACTTTTTCCCTTGGTATCAATATGTTTGCAACATTCACATTGTGCAGGAACTCAGTTCACAGCTGAATCTTAAAAAGCCCTTTTCTTAATGTTATTCCCCATTTAAGAGAGACCTTTTCATTTTTTTCATTAATTCTAGATCCCTTAAACATCCATTAAAAGGCATGGGACCTCCTGACCCAAAGATATTTAATGTAAATAAATGTATGTAATTATCTGCTTAAATATGACTTGATATATGTCACCATTAACATTTCTTTCAGGTCTTTTTCTCTGTATTAGTTGGAGCTTTCAGTATTGGACACACTGCTCCAAGCATAGAGGCATTTGCTAGTGCAAGGGGAGCTGCCTATGCAGTCTTTAATATCATAGACAATGTGAGTATCTTTGCCCTCACTCTCATTTTAAAACTGAAAGACCCTTCTTTTTAAAGTACAGGCACTATTTATGGATATGAAATTAGTAAGAATAAATAATTGTGTAAAATAAGCAGAAATATAAATGTAAAAGCAGATAGAATGTGTAATTATTAGTCAGTTCCTCTTTGTCTTCTAGAGTTACCAGTCCTTGCTTCAAAGGTAAAAGTACTGGATCTCTGAATCACTTGGTATTAGAGGTATCCTCTAATTAGTTTTTATCATGAAGGGCACGTCTATGGTGCTATATAGGTATGTGATTACAGCCGACATAGATGTATGAGCATAGGTATCAAGGTATCAGTGGCACCACCAGTAGCATCAGTGTCAGCAAATAAGTAAAACACAACCTGGTAACCTGGCTATGTACTTCAATTGCCAAGAGAAACTGAACTCAGGGAAGCTATGATTTTACTAGCTATTAAAGCTCTATGAAAGGCAATTGCATGGTTTGGATTATAGTTAAGACATGCTTCAAATTCTAGACCCACCCTGGATGGAAACAAGAACAATGATAAGAACTCTGTTTCTGCTTAATGGTCAGTGGATTGGTCTTTTAGCACACAAATTGTTTCAGCAGAAAAGGCAAAGCTATAAATGAATAGTGTATGGCTCATTAGAGACGATCTCTTCAGGTTAACCATCAGGCAGTGAAATGAATCTCAAATTATGGCTAGCTGTGGGTACAGTCTTAAAGACAATGTACTAAATTCACACAAAACCTTAAATGGAGAAATTATAAAGTATTCTTGCATAAGCAGATCATCAATGTAGTAATGAGGCAGCAAAACATCATGCAATTTACAAGTTTCAAAAATCTCATCTAAATTACTTTAAAATTACATTTCATGTCTCTGCAGAATAATGGTGCACTCTAGGAATTCTTTATGAAAAAAATCATTAGGAAATAAGTTTGGGATTTTTTTAAATTTATTTTGCACAGGAACCTCAAATTGACAGTTATTCAGAGACAGGTTACAAACCAGACCACATTCAAGGGAACTTGGAATTCCAAAATGTTTACTTCAATTATCCATCAAGACCAGATGTTGAGGTACTGTAAATGAAACTTTATATGTATTACAGTTAAACGTGTGGATCATTTGTTGGGAAAAATTGTCACGTAAATAAAGTTTTGTTGAAAATTCCAAGTTAATTCTGTAATTTATATGAAGGTATGTTGCCACCACACTGATTTTAGCTAGAATTATTTACACCTTAGCTAAACATGTTAAGCTTTCTGAATAATTTTCTGTCTAAAGCAATAGTCAGTATGGCTGTGCAGTAAAACTTAAGGTTTATTGCTATCAGAATCTAAATTTATGCATCTAACCCAAGTGTTTGTGTATAGTAACAGTAATGCTATAGTGGGTTTCAAAAGTACCTGCAATGCAGCTTTTATAAGACTGTATCTCAACCAGTTAAAGAAAGCAGATCCAGCAAGAACTTTTTACATGTGGAATAGAGATCAGAATCTGTTTTTTGTCTGTCTAGACAGAGAAAAAGTTTGCTTTTTAGAGCACTTTCATAAATCCAGGGTCTTAATGCAGTGGAGGTAGAAGACATTTGAATGATTTCTGAAAATATTTTCATGAAGAGTGTATTTGCACTATGTAACTATTTCCTTCCCTACCTTGAAGGAAAATCACTAACCTTGATAAAAGGATCTTTCTTACTTTCAGTAGGCAGAAAGTAAAGACACAGAGCTTTCTTTTTAAGCCATTTTTACTCATAAATATGTTAAATATTTCAGCTTTTCCTTCTATCAAGAAGGTGAATGAAGTGAATGTGCTTGATTTTTCTTCATATAGAAATATAAATGAAAATACAACTATTGATCTCAGTGGATTATTTTATAAGTTTATACAGGTATGATATGAATAGAGATTTCTCCCCCATAGTTTCAGAGATAATAATTATAGGAAGTTAAGACTACACCAAACATTTAGTAAGTATGTCATAAATTATAGTAAAGAGAAAAAGGAGGAGATCAAATAACTCAGGGTAGTTAATTTCTGCCTAAACTTAATCTAGCTGACTTTCAAGTTAACTCTTCTTCTCAACAAGATTAAATGCAGCAAAGTAACTGACAGGCACTGTCAATGAAGACTGCAAGTTAGTTCCTACCTCACTAGACTGATTTATTTGCTATCATTACTCTCTCTTCTCTGTTTGCTTTAAGTTGTTAGAAACAGCCTAAATGAATTTAATTATGGATTTTATTTTGATATAGGAAAAAGGTTCTGATCAGTAGTCCACTGAAATCAGTGATAATCCACAAGTTTTAGGTCAACTTCTATTCGCTACTTTCTTTACATTAGATTTGTTTGAGTTGTCTTATTCAAGGTCTATAGACTGAATTATCTATAGCATTATAACCAGAAGATTAAATGAGGCCGCTTCATAAATTTTAAATTGTTATTACTTATGTTGGACTTCTTGTTTTGATCTAAAAATACTGTAGCAAAATAAGACGTAGTAAAAGTTGTAATTTACCTATGCCTCTTATTCCTAAACAGTGAGATATATTTCACTTGTAAAGCACAGAAATATTGCTACTAAGGGTAAAGAGGTGGCGGTAGTGCTGGAAGTAGAAATTTAGGAAGAAAGAGACAGTGACAAAGACACAGGACTGCAAGGTATTGGGAAGTACATTGGGAGAGTGTTGGAATGTATCGGTACATGGCTGTACATTTAGAAAGGAAAAATACACTTAGCCATGATGCAGATGCTGACATTCAGGTATGCACAGTTCATTGTAGCCTAGTCCTTCTAGAAGACTAATTAGCGAAAAATATGCTTTTCTCCATTTCAGTATACCTTTCCAACACAGAAGTTGTACACAGTGAAAGCTGTACAGACTCCTGTACACTTTTTGTCATGTAAAGTAGAAACAAACCCACTTTATTCCTTTTTTCATGTTGTTGTATCTTCTTACTACTCAGGTGAGCAGGTTAAGCAGAAAGGTGGACAAAATTAAATATACATGGCATAGACATGCTAACTGTTTGTCTCTTCTCCAGCCCCACTACACAGCCATTTACAGGTTATATTCTTGAAAATAAAATGAAAAAGCACCAAAGAGCTACATTTACCCTTTGTAAGAGTCCCAAGGAAGGCAAAACTTCCTATCTTCCATGGTTGTGAAATGCTATCTTTTATGCTGACTAGTACAAAAAGGTTATATATTGTGCAATGAAATGTCACCATTGTAAACAAGTCCCACCAGCAATTCCAATCAAAAGGGGAAAAATTATGGATACTTCAAGGTTACTGAAATGACTTTCCCTTCAAAACTATGTAGAATATATTCTGTCACTTTTAACCATGACATTTACTGTACAATAGTTTTCCTGTAGTTTGCATGGTGCATTAAAGAAAAAGATGAGGCAATATAATACAGAAATACTGCATCATATTGGTTTTATGTTATATTTAAGTTATGGGTAGTCATCATCTTGTTATTATTTTATCGTATGAATGGGTTTATGATATGGGTAATTGTGAAGTGTGTTGTACCATACATTGATACTGGACCAACTGTGATGTAAATATGAAGAAAATTAAGCTGAAGTCATTAGTTATCCAGAATTTAAACTCACATGTTTATAAATTTTATTTTGTACCAGGTTCTGCTATAAATAGGAAGGATATCTTGTTGTAGGCTTTAGAGTTTCTTCAAATTTACACTGGCATTTTTACATA